GAAAAACGCGGAGCCAGAAATAATTACGCGGCAACAAATAATACTTGTACACATTGAACAGCATAGTACATTTCTCGATATCTTCAAAGTAGTCTTTGCCGTAGTCTACAAAAACTTCTTCGCGGAATTTGATGGGTTTGTTGGTTTGCACCACAAATGCCAATGTCGACCGGATTGCAACAAACTGTGTGGTGTCGTAAGTGGATGCCAGCTGGTCGAAAAATTTGATTCACCTCGGCGTTGAAAGAATGGCAAGCGTGGTTGATGAATCGTAGCGGTCCAACAAGAACCCGTGGATCCATTCTGCCTTTTTCCGACTTGACTTGACTTGGGTGGGGGTGGATCTCTGACAGGCGAGAATGTTCCGCCCTTGAATCGGACGCCATTAGACCCATGAGAGGGTGTAGTATCTCCCCCTCGACCAAATCCCTAGTTGCAAAAATTGCAAAACCTCCGCTGCCATCGCCGAAACGCGTTTTCTTCAACCTTACCCCCTGATCCTGGTTGCATATGACACTCCCATATGCAATGGAGCACCTTTGCGGATAAATTTCAGCCCGAAATGGAGTCTGTTAGATTGAAAAACTCACCACCGGATCGCATTCGCGTGCTCGTGACTCTCTACCAAACCTTCACGTGACTTTACACGTGTTAGTTCTATTTGTGTTCACCCAGCAATTACAGAGGTTTTCACGCTGTCCTTACACTCCACCATCACCGCTATCGTGTCGGAAAATATTTCTGGCGTACGTCTCATATGTATTACAACTATTGGAAGTTTTTATACACCACTTATTGCGGCGGCCGTGATGCAAGTTCCTCAAAGTCAATAATTTTGCAACATTGCGACCCCCCGATTCTATTTTCAGGATCTCGCTTGAAAAACCTTGGTAAAGCTGACAGTTCTACACGTAATGGTTCCCTTCAGGACCCCGCCAAGTTTGTACCTCTGAATTTCCAGAACTTTTGTCAGTGGAAGATACTAGCGTGCCACAGCGCGCATCATACTACCTACCACTACCTAACTTCCTCCATTCGTAGAGTATCGTTTTTGTCCAAGGGCAACTCACGTATCTATTCCTAAATGTAGTATTTAACGCTTCTCAACAACAAATGATCACAGCGGAACACGCGGACGTACATACATTTAGAAAAAGAATGGTAGCCCCCTACTCCTCCCTCAATTCCAGATCCATCGCGCTCGAAACGCATTGGCACTTTTACACATCAGGGTCTTCTTTAGGACACTACCATCTGTGTGCCTGGGTATGTAATTTCCGTTAGTGAAAGATTATAGCGGGCGTGTCGTTTCCCGTATTTCGTACCATTCCTCACATTCCTCCATTCGCAGCATCCCAGACGTGGGGAGACGTGTGCAAGAATATCTCACATTCTTTACCTAGATCCTCTATAGTATCAACGATTCGAAACGTTGACAAAGCGTAGGGGACGTACATTTCGAACAATATGTGAGGATATACTCCTCCTCCCTCGATTCTTCATCGTGCGTGAACCGCACAGAGGTATATTCCATCTTGACGTGTCAGAGTCTTGTTCGGGTAGTATTCCCGACGTCACTGCACTTGTGAGTTCATCAGTTTTGCTGTAAGAAATTTGTGAGCTGGCGTTCGTGCTTACTGTCCGAACCCTTCAATAATACGATTTCGTGGTTCTGTGATAGAGAAAAATCTGAAACTTGTTTATTCATGTGGTAGAATCATAATACACTTACCTGTACAGGAAGGACCAAAGCACGTAGTTTCATTCGAGTTTAGATGACCGCTGAATGTGTCCTCCTTCTCCTCTCCCGATTCCGAATTAAAAAACGGTGTTCTGAACATTAAACTGTCAGAAAGATATTCATCAAGGGTCTGATGGTTGTACGTACTTTGATTTGAAACAACTTGGCTTGTATCTTTCTCAAAGCGTCGCAAGGCTTTCGCGAACGGGAGCCGTGCAGAATTCTGCCGTTGTGCGTTGGTCGGTTGTTCTCTCGGGATGAGTTGAATGTATTTCGAGTGCCGCCTAATAAATACATTTAACGAAGCCGAAGTTGATTAAATAAACCAAAGGAATGGATACGTACGAAACCAATGCAAAGCTCATTTCCTCCGTCCTCCCCGGTTCCGAACCCTGCACAATGCACAATACGAAACCCTACCTCCATAAAATTTCTGCGTCACGTCAGTCACAACTCGACTGGTTACTGCCAAGGTAGAAGGGCTATAAAGATGGGGCGGTCAGTCCCATATTTTTTCAACAGCGCCAGCGCCCACGTCGTCGACCTCTTGTTCGTCGTCGCTATTCTCCAGTAAGCCGTCCGCTCGTCGTGGTCTGTAGTCGTCGTGGTTTGCAGTTGTTGATTTTGACGTTGCTTATCGACTTTTTAAGACTTTCCAACGCTAGACAGTGACCGGGTATGTCAACGTCGATTTCGTCGTGGACAACGTTCGCTTACCTTTGCTTCTATTCCTTTCCTGCAGGGAGATTGGCTAAAATGAGCGGGATAGGCGTTGCGAGGGTCGTGAATAAAAAGTTGGTTCTGCAAAAAGTATGTCAGTCGTTCACATCCCATTAACTCACCTGATCCAAGGTCTTTCGTCGTGTCTCCCACGCAATGATCGCCTTGGCCGTCGATGAGACTGTAGAAGGTTCGTTAGCGTCCTTCCGCGCAACTCCCGCGTTTGAATCACTCACTCACTTACTAATGTGTCCACATCGGCTAGAATGACATGATGAGCTACAAAACGTAAGTAATCGTACACGAATCCCGATAGGAACCAACTGGCCTCTTGAAAGTTGAAAGTTGAGCTTGAGGTTGTGGCTGATGGACGTCGTGGGAAACGGTGAGCAAACAGTAACATGTGTAACGATCGTGACTTATACTTGAGCTCTACACAAAGCCCAGCGTTGGCACTTTCCAACACGCAGGACGACGATAGACATGACGTCTACTTCGGAGGTGTAGGATGTAGGGTGGTAAGTTGTTTACAACGGAATGAGACGTTTCGTGAATACTTAACGTGATTGCGCATCATTAGCTCGATGTCGACAACACCAGACGTCGGAAAAGACTCCATCGTTGAGGGAACACGGGTGGATAGTCGAGCAGGCGGTGTAGAGAGGGAGCGGGAAGGTGTGGAGGTGGATAGTACGTCTATCCTCCTTACTATTTGTCCCAAACTTCACATACATTTCCCTCTTGGATTCATATTCTTTCTCTAAATGGGTTCCCGCCACCCAGGGAAGGTAAAACCAACGGCCGCTGAATAGCCAATAGACACTTTGTCACTTTCTCTCTCACGCTCCCCCACGTATATCGTGGGTTCCCTGGATCCTCGGCATGCGATTGATCATCCCGCCAGTATAAGGTGAAGGCGACGTTGAGTAGCTGTCTGCTCAGCGATGTGAGCTCGTCGAGCGAGAGTGGATTACGAGTTGTGGCATTGTTCCCAAAAAAATCGTCGTCCCCCATCGTGAGGAGCGCCTGAGTGTACAGCTCACACAGGAAAAGTAAGGGTGGCCAATGTACGGCGTTAGCTGGTTCTACGAGATGATCAGTTGACTGAATTTTAGACGTGTACGCCGACGTACCCAGAAGAGTGCTGCTATTCACCTCTATGCCAAGGGGGGAACGCCTTACAGAGTCGCGATATATCTCACGTACCAATCCTCCTCCCGTTAGCACCAGAACCTTAGCCAAAATCTGTTCTCGCGAAGAAGGTCAGACGGCCGTCAAGGCCGAAAGGAAGGCGACCAGTTCTTTCCGCGCATCCGGATTTGAACGGGTTGAGGTGATCAAAGAATCGATGTGGGCAGGTGCAACGACCTTGTTCCGGCGGGTGAGCGTCTTAGAATCAAGTTTTGGTAGGGGTTGTGGCTTGTTGAAAGATGAAACAAGGGACACGCGAGGCCTGGGTTCATCATCGTCTGAATCCGAATGGTACTCGAAGTGGGCTACCTTGGGGATGTGTTCCCTTGGAGGATCAAAGACGGAAACGGGGAGGGCGTTCAAGATGTTTGCAAGGAAACGGAGATATATTGACAGAGAGCGGCCGCCGAGTTTCGAGTAGTGAGGGGCAATGAACATGTGTAGGTTTGCCACGAGGTGAACTTTGTCTTCCGTACTCGTGGAACTTGCTATGGTGGCGCTAAATTGCTCTAGGACGTACAGATCCGAGAATGGGATGCGGGATATGAAATGAGACAACGAGAAAAGTGGAATCCGTTTGGGAGAAGCGGAATGGTAAAAATGTGGGCGAATATGGGACTGATGCACGGGGAGGGCGAGGGGAAAGTGGCGAGTGGCACCGTGATGAGGGAAATGAGGCTAGGGGATATCTTGAACTGCGTAGGCTAGAGACGAACGTGAAACCCGTAAATGCGAATATAGAAAGTGGCTTACTGTCTGTCGGATAACCTGGGATATTAATGTGTAGAAGTTGCGTTCCAAGAGATAAGTGGTAATGGCTATACACGCCTACGCGCCTGGTGGCCCTAATACGCGCTTCGTCGATTCGCAGGAAAGCAGTTGGTTGAGGACTTGAATGTGTGGTGGTGCGTACAATGATCTAAAGATAAGAAACGGTCAGAGTCTCTTGATAAATTAGCTGGAGAGCGCACTGTGGATGTCTCGAAGTCGACCGCACTAGTAGCAAACTTGTCGTATGAGCACTAACCAGCTCTCCCCAGACCCTTGCAATGCCGGAGAGAACAAAAGTGCTATATCAGAGTTACTTTCGATGAAAGAGATGCCTTACAAGCCTCTCACCTTCCTCGCCTTGCACCATCTGGCTTGACCATGTCCCAGCGCCTCCTCATCCTTGCCCCCTATCAAGACCAGACACCTAAGCCCATCCAACCCAGCTACATCCCTTTCGAATGCGCCCCTCAGTCTTATCTTCACCTCCCTCGCCTCTCTGACTCCGCGCCACTACGATTGGATTCGTACAGCAGCATCACTCTTGCGTTTTTGCTCCGATCGCTCATTGCGTCGTCCTCGCGCTGCTTCGAGAAGTTCAGCCTGACTCGCGACTTTCGATGCCCCTCCAAGATTAATCTTTCGTCATTTCTCGTCGCCGAAGAGGTGGATCATCGTGGTGTTGAATGAACGACTGAAAGTCCGAAATTCGTCAGGTGACGCTTGATGGCACGTGATTTTAATCTTATCTACATATGCTACTTCTCCTGAGATGCGCGTCGAGAGAGTGAATTTAGATAAGAATATATTTGTAACTTTTACAGGAAACGCAGCAAAACGATTTTGAGCACGCGCAAGAGCAACCGAGGCTGTCTGGCATCTCCACTGCTTTGTACTTGTTTGCCATAGACGGTTCTCTTGCTTTCCACCATCAGATCCATACCAATGGTCTCATCTACAGCGCCCTATGGGACTTGGTCATCGCCTATTACAGCACAAGCCATAACTAAAGGGGTACGTCCTGCCATTTTCCACAATACGCGACGTGTTTACTCATAATCCTGAAGGCAAACGGCATCGCAGATGTTCTCGTCGACGTCATTACTTCAGAAGTCTACCGTGTCGAAAACCGACCGTCCGAGGCAGGGCGGAACGTTCTAGTTCATACCAAATTAAACAAGGATGTAGTCGGGGAAGGTTGGAATGTCCGAACAGGCGTTCAGGAATACGGTGGATTAGCGGCGGTCATTCACGCAGGTGTTATTTACTTTTCACATTTACCGGATGGGCGCAGTAATATGCGCGGAGCTGGAAAGTCTGATGGACTCTATCAATACTCATTGTTTGACATTGGTCCCTACACCAGACTTCAATGTTACTCATTGCACTACGTTGAATTTATTTTCAGCTCCATTGCGTACCAATGGAAATTATCGAGACTCAGTGAGTCACAATGGGTGCTGTTGTAGGACATTGACCAAAATCTGGTGTCCAATAGACTACAATGGACCCCGATGGACCTCAATGAATTACACTGACATTCAGTGAATGTTGTTGGAAACTTATCGAAATCCATTGGAGTCCATTGTGGTCCATCGGTAGCAAATCGGTACTGGGCATTATTGACGGATGATTCGCAATTTGCCGGCTTTGGGAAGTTGTTGTTCAACATTGGCAAACAAACTCCGAAGAGCATATTCCACTCCGTTCGTCCATGGTTATCCAAATGCATCGGACAGCTATGTTAACGTACGGACTAAAAACCTCCTAAAACACGTCCACACCCTTGCTTGTGGTCCCCTTCCAACTCCAACAACCTCACAAGTGCTGCTGCAGCACGCATGCTCTCAACATTGTCTAAGTACCTCCGACACAGCGGGCCAAACCCCCCTCTTCTGCATCCACGACGAAGCCCAATGCCCCACTCCACCTCCTTCCGCTCCGACCACTCCGCCACACAAGGCCCTGGCCCGCGCGAAATCGTGCGCGCATGGCCAGGTGGTAGGGCAAGGCATGTTGATGGGCGTAGCTGGCACGGGCATGGTCGTCGACCAGGCAATGGCATCTGCCATCTTGAAGGACTCGAGGTGTCGGTGGTGAAGTATATCCTGAGGAGTGTTTTAGATACGCCTGCGGAGGGGAGGTTCATGGGGAGGGTTTCGTATTGGCTGCGTGATAGGTGAGTTTGTTGTACCTGTCGAAGAATAGTGTTAGTAATAAGTGGGGGGCAGACCGCGGGATTCGTTACAGAACTTCTTGTTTATTGGGTTCAGAGATCTCGCAATATGAACTCGACTTTTCAGCTAAGGACTTTTTTTTTCTTCCTGGTTTTTTGAATAACGTGCTGACAATTCAGACAGTGACATGCTAACGAATTCACCAACTAACAACTCGCCACCTAATGCGCTCCGTTCCCCATCATGCCCAGGAACGACCCTCCGCAAAAACGTGCGCGCATGGGAAGGCCATCGAGATGCGCGATGATGTGGGGAATCAAGACTTTCACGGTACCAGTGGAGTCAATTTTGAGCGCATGAGCAACCGCCTCCAAGTCCGATTTCTTGCGACGGT